CATCCTTCATGAATAACTTTTGAAAGAATTTTCATTTGTGGGTCAGATTTGGTTGTTAACCTAATTTGTTCCATGTTTGGTCACTCACTGGTAAGTTCGACATAATTGTGTGTACATGTGTTTCTAGATTAGCCGATTCGGCAATTTCTGGGTATGTGTCTGGTAAGACTTTCCGAAACAAAGTATCTGCTAGGGGTATATCTTTCCCGGGGATGAAAACTACGTCAATATCATTCGGCTACAATTGAAGTAATACACGCTGCAGTCGTGGAGGGGCTGAGTTCAAGCCTTTTTTTCCATATAGCTTGGAGCTTGGAGAGGTTTATGATCACTTTGACATGTAATACGTTTACCGTAAATCTACTGGTGGATTTTTTTTACATCCGAAAAGGATAGCGTACAATTCCTTTGTGATTTAGGGATAATTGACCTCAGTAGGGGTAAGCGACTTTGATGCAAAACCAACTGGTTTATCCTCCTGCATGAGTACTGCAGCTAAACCATACTTGGACGAGTCGACTTGAAGAGTAATTTCCTTATTTGGGTCAAAGAAAGAGAGTATCGGACAAAGGCTTTGTGTAATAATGCTTTAATACCTGTTGTAGGGCATTTTCCTGGGGTGCATCCAAGCTAAATCTACATCTTTAGATAGAAGCTGTTTCATGGGTGCAGTTATTTCTGAGAGTTTGGGTGGAAATCTCTGTAAGTATGTGACCATGCCTAGAACTGTTTGCAATTCCTATTTAGAAGTAGGAGATGGCATCTCTGCTATGGCCTTGACCTTTGCAGGATCTATTTTTAAACATTGATCAGTAATTAAGTAGCCAAAGAAAGGTAACTGTGTTTTCCCTTTTTCCGTTTTGTCGGGATTGAGCTTGATGCCTATTAATTGGCATCTTCTCAAGAGTCTATATATTTCGCCCTATCTTTGCCGTAAACAACAATGTCGTCGACGGTTGTTCTTACTCCTGGCAAACTTTCAAGCCACTGTTCCATTTTTGCACAAAATGCATCATTTGCTTTCTTAAGGCCATATCGGAGTCTGAGGAATCTGTATCTTGCAAAACAACTGTTAAAAGTTGTCAAGTAAGATGACTTTTCTGTAAGTTGAATAGACCAATAACCACTACATGCATCTATTTTTGAAAACACAGTAGCATTTGACAAGTCGGGCAATATGTCGTCAATAGTAATAATAATAATGATAAACTCCTTATTTAACGAAGGTAACTTATTAAGACAATACATCAAAGCATTATATACAACACATATAATGCAAAATCTTATTTTCAACAAGGCCTTCAATGAAACATACACATAACAATGGACATATTCAAGCAATTATAAAGATAACAACATTCAGTAAATCTTAATCAACGAAGAACACAGACATAATATTATATTATAGTATAGGTAAATTTTCTATAATTCATCTTTACATAATAATAAATGTTTGAAATGTGTTTTAAACAATTTTAGACTCGAAAAAATCTTATTTTTAAAGGAATAGTGTTCCATAACTCCATACTAGAATAATAAAAAGTACGTTTCAAATAATTTGTTTTAGGTCGTTTATGCAAAATGTCTTTTTATGTGTTGATCTTAGTAAGTAAGTTTTATTTTGAGATAATGGAATTAGATTAGAAATGTATGCTGGCGTTAATTTTTTTCATCGCTTTATATACCATAATTCCAGAAAAGTATTTACATCTATATGGAAAAGATAACTACACAAATGTATTTCATATTTTGAAACATATCAAGAGAATTTGTTTTTACGGGTTTATTTAAAATAATTCTGGCGGTTCTTTTTTGTAATTTTGTTATTCTATTTAGATCTTATTTGTTACATTGGGACCAAATAATACATCCATAATCAAAAGTAGGGGCAATGTAAGCGTTATAAAATAATTGTTTCATTTCAGGTGTAAGAATTAGTTGAATTTTTTTCAGCAGAGATATTTTAGAAGCAAGCTTAGCACACGTTTTGTCAATATGTATTTTCCAAGAAAGACAGTTATCAATATGCAATCCAAGTAGCTTTTGACAATGAACATTATTTATACTAGAATTCTCTATATGCAGAGAAAGATTGCCTATGTTATTTATTTTACATTTTGATCCAATTATCATGCACGTTGTCTTTTCTAGATTAATGGCTTTATTATTGAGAGTGCACTTTCCTGTATTTTAGTAAGTCTAGTTGCAACTCAGACTGTATATTACTTTATTTATTTATGAATCAGTATATTATGGTCAACTAAATCAAAGGCTTTTTTAAAATCTAAAAATACAGCACCTATTATATTTCCATCATCAATATTTGTAAGCCTAGCATCTATAAGGCGAATCAAAGCCGTTGAGCAAGAATGATGTCTCCGGAAACCTGACTGGTTTTCATTAATGATATTGGTATAATGAAGATAATTATTATAGTCCTATTAGGGTAATGGGGTCTTTTGATGGCATTGTTTAGATCTTTCGGATCTAAGCATAACCGTAAAGAGCCATTAGGTTTTTCTACTACAACTAGACTATTTACCCAGTCTGTAGGTTCTGTGACTTTCTTATTAATACCTAAGCTTTCCATTCTGTCAAGCTCTATTTTAAGTTTGTCACGAATGGCAACAGGAACTCTGCGTGGAGGGTGAACTACTGGTGTGACATTGTCACGCAACTGTATTTCAAATTCCCCTGGCAGTTTTCCTATTCCGTTGAAAACATCTGAGTATGTATTGAGCACTTGCTCCTTTGTAATAGGCACTGTGCACATATAAGACAGTACTAACTTAATTAAGTTTAACTTAAGGCATGTTTGAAGACCTAGAATTGGGCTTGAATGTGTATCTACTATGTAAAACTCTTCTGTAGAGACTTGACCTTTATATGTACAAGGAAGATTGATACAGCCATCGACTTTGAGAGGCTGACCATTGTATACGGTTAATTGCTTTTGTGTTGGAAGTACATGATCTAATGTGCCTAATGATCTGAATATTGACCTTGAGAGAACATTGACCTGAGTCCCTGTATCAATTTTCATATTAAGTTATGTTGAGCAGACTTTGACCTTAGCAAATGCTTGATTTGTTGTGATGTCATGCTCAACTGTATAGACTTACATGTCATTATCATGACGGGGTAGTGAACAATCAAGATCATTTGTGTTAAAATGTGACCCCATTAACATTTTTGCTTCCTAAATCCTGTTTTCTTTTCCTACACACTTTTGCGAAATGATTAAACTTTGTACAATCCAAACACTTTTGACCCTTGGCTGGGCATGTATCACGTTTTAAATGGTAAGTCCCACAGTTATTACATTTATTTTTATTTCCAGTAGATACTCGTTGATTGGTTCTAGTGCTGTGTTTGCTGCCATCTGTCCTTCTGCTTTGCGTCCGAAACTGCTTAAATGGTGCTGCTGCTGTTGCTGCTGAGGATTTCTTGACTGCATTGATGGATTGGGCTTGGCCGCTTATATCCCTTAGCTGTGTCTGACTTAATGCATAAGTGCGAGACAAGTCAATACATTTTTCAAGTGTCAAGTTTGATCCTTCATTGGTGAGTTTCTCTCTTATCTGGTGGGAACGTACACCAAATACAATGTGATCACGTATCATCTCGCTTTGTATCTCGTCTGCATAGCTACAGTCCTTTATTAATAATTTTAACTCTGTGACGAATTCTTCAAAGGTCTGTAAAAACTTTAAACTTATACCTAGAGTATATGTAGTACATTTTGGGCGCACAATATGTCTCGAAACCTTTATAGTATGTCTGAAGCAGTTTTCTTTGATCAGCTGTAACTGTCCAGGTTGAAAAAATTTGGTGACACTTCTCACCGACCCATAGCATTAAATAGTTGCACTTAGCTTCCTTTGTTTTCTTTTCTAGTCGCCCTTCAAACATAAAGTCACAATGTTCTTTAAACTTCTGACATGCATTTGGTAAGTCTCTAGCTTCCCAGTCCATTCTTGGATTTGTTTGTGAATCCATCTTTTTACAATGGTTATAAATCCAAAATATATTTAATTTCTGTTATTTTAATTATTATTATAAATAATTAAATCCTTTTATTCTGACATGTTTTATGTTTGTTTATTTGGTGTGGATGCAGAGAATACGAGAAAAAGTAAAAAAAATCTGGAAACAAAGTGATCCCTCGGAAACATTAATCACAACAAAATTACAAGAGAATTGCAGACTCGGTTTGATTGAGTCTGTACATGAGGGATAATGAATACGTGCAACATCCCTCACGCCCCCTAGCACCGGCTTGAGCGGTACTCAATTCTCAACACTTAATAGTGCTGGTATCAATGATCCCGAAGGACCAGAAAAATTTAACAACACTGAAAAGAAGTACGGGGCAACTTTTTACAGCTGCCACACAGCACTTGACACCTGCTGTTGTGAAGTATAAAACTCTGGAAACAAAGTGATCCCTCGGAAGCATTAATCACAACAAAATTACAAGAGAATTACAGACTCGGTTTGATTGAGTCTGTACATGAGGGATAATGAATACGTGCAACATCCCTCACGCCCCCTAGCACCGGCTTGAGCGGTACTCAATTCTCAACACTTAATAGTGCTGGTATCAATGATCCCGAAGGACCAGAAAAATATAACAACACTGAAGTGAAGTACGGGGCAACTTTTTACAGCTGCCACACATCACTTGACACCTGCTGTTGTGAAGTATAAAAATCTGGAAACAAAGTGAAAAACTGTTCTTAAATTGATGAATTGAACTGATACAAAAGTTTTACATAAATCGGTCATTTTTTTTAGCAATTAAGACAGCAAACTTTTGTTATTTATACTATTTGTGTCAAGAATATGATAAAGATTAATAATATAAAGTTTTAAATGGTTGTTGTTGAAGCAATCTGGAATTTGGAACTGTTTTAATTGGGAGTTAACACAGTCAATGAAGGAACACATATAGTAGTATTCTGCCTTATAAATTGGTCGTGTGAAACCTGATCCGCTAGAGGGCGGTTATACTTTCGCTTTGATAATTTCTGAAAAAAGAAAACTTATGTTGTTGCTAAAGTTTTAACCCTGGAAAAATACTAACAGGTACATTTAAATAAGCAGATTTATGTTTAAGTATGCGCTTTTTGTTGCTGAATATTTTACGTCTGTGTAATAGATGGAGAAATAAAACAAAAATGTTTTAGACGCACAGTTGTCTGGGTAATCGAATGATTGCAGAAATTAGAATCTACTTTCGTTTTCAAAAGAAAATTATCTGAGCAATAAAATGCCCAAGCTACTGTTTGCTCGACTGCAACATTATTAAAACATACACATTGAGCTTTTAAAAGGCTTGGTATATGAATCAAACTGTTGCTCAATAAATTAAAAGCAAATTGAGATTTTTTAACAGTTTCATTCAACAGTTCAAAGCATTCCAGTACCTGTGCTCGACCAGCCCAGTGCTCGACCAATACTTCTATTTGTGTATGATTTATACATTAAAGTGGAAAACCCCTGGGAGTTTGGTAGTGTTATTTGTACCTGACCTGTAACATCTACACCATGTACAAGTACTCCAATATTGGTAGAATATTGGCCATTTTGCAGACAATATTAAACAGTACAAAATACAATTCTATGATAAAAGTAGCAGTAAAAACTATTTAAAACACTTCAATAATGATAATTTAGGGCAAATGTGGACAATACTTTTTAAAATTGCCTTTACTCTAATGCTTCCAATTGATTTCTATACGAAAGGCGCCCAAAAATCATCAAAACTCAGCTTTCCATAAATTGTAGGGGCTATGAATTATTTTTTTAAATAAGCGATCATTATTAACATGTAAACAAATATGGCAGCTGTACGGAAAAAAATCTGGAACACATTACTAAAAGCACAGGTAAACGTTGCGTGGCCATGACTTACACTATACCCCCGTTCCCCCTCTACAACCCAAAACCCTAAAAAAAAATTATGAAAAAAAAAAAATTTTATGACTAAAATATTATAAAGGTATTTTACTCTACTTTCATTTTGCATAGAAATATCACTAGCATCTCAATTATCAGCGCATATATTCATCAATTTTTCACCAATCTTAACAATCTTGGTCTCAAATCTTAGATAAATAAATACTCTTTAAGAAAACAACACTGGCACCTTCGCTGATTATACGTAGCAAGAAATATCCAAGCCCAAACTGTCAACAAATGAAACTCGGAAGAGATCTGATTGCACCGTTTCGGTAAAACTCTCACGAGTAAAACACACTAAATTCACCGTGAAAGAATATTTCTTTGTATTGCGTATTTAAATATGATAAAATTAAGTTATTATTTGTAATAATTGTTCAATCAAAGCATCATATGAAACTATAACGCACCTTTTTTCCTATATGTCAAATTCTCAATCCAAAATGAAAGTAAATTGGCACAGCAGAGTTGTTTCCCTTTAAGTATTTTCATTGGTCCGAGGTTTTCCTGTGACCAATGAAAATACTCCATTTGAAAACAATCTGCAGGCCCATTTTACTTTCATTTTGGAATGAGAATTTGACATATAGGAAAAAAGATTATTAAGATTGGTGAAAAATTGATGAATATATGCGCTGATAATTGAGATGCTAGTGATATTTCTATGCAAAATGAAAGTAGAGTAAAATACCTTTATAATATTTTAGTCATAAAAATTTTTTTTTTTTTCATAATTTTTTTTAGGGTTTTGGGTTGTAGAGGGGGAACGGGGGTATAGTGTAAGTCATGGCCACGCAACGTTTACCTGTGACTAAAAGCATAGACCATTTGTAATTACACCAAATATCACACTTAACTATGTTTGCAAAGTGATTTTAGTATAAAAAATATGAGAATAAGTAATCTCACCACTAACAAAGTTTGCACTCTTACCCTATGCTACGACCGGATGTAAACAATATGTTCGCACAGGGCATGCGCGGTGGTTAAATCCCACCCATTTTATTCAATTAAATTCTAGAACAACCACTACTTTCGGTTTCAATTTTGCTGACAAGGAACAGTTTGAGTCAACGTAAGTGTTAATTTTAATTGCAATGTCCAAAACTTTGCACTGCACGGCATAATTTTCATTACATATCCGGTATTATCACCGTCATGGTAGTTTTTATTCCACTCGGTCAAAATGACGGTACACATTTACATGTAAACAAACAGATTTAACTTCTCAGACAATTTATATAAGGAATGGACACACGGTAAACTCTGTTGCAACGTAAAGTATATTCATAAATCTGTTTGAGAAAAATTGTCTCCGTGTTCAAATAAATTTCAAAAACGGGAAAAAAAGCAGTCTTTTACCGATACCCTGCAACAGAACCTTATTATTCTGACGAATTAAATCGACTTTATAACGCTCGTATACAATTATTTATTGATTGATTTTCATTATATTTATTTTGCAATACCTATCATTCAATATGCAATCAAACAAAACCAAGTTTTCATACATTCAAGGAAATTGTAAGTTAGGACGAGCTTTCAAAACGAACAGGTAGCAATTTCCAACACGCTTACCGAAACTCCAACATGGCGGCTCATTTGCATAATTTATTCATAAACGCAGGAGCATAGAACTTTGTTAGTGCTCACCCCAATATATGTATTATATTAATTCCAAAACTCTTATAAACACTTAATTTGTCAATGTATAGCATTTCCTTCTTATCATATTTACTCTCATATTTACATCTATAGACACTAAAACGTAAATGTTTCAAAATATTTTTGAAATAGAATTATTGAACATAAAAAGTCAGATCTGTTTTTAAAAAATAAAAGTTCTGATAGGGATAAAACCACCTGGTCGAGCACTGGTTTGGTTGCCTGAAAACTATAGTGGTTTTATACCCAAAATTAAATCGGTGGTAAATTGTATCCCGATCTGTGTTGTTAAAAGGCTTTAGCTTATTGTGAGTTTGAAAGGGCCAGCTTTGTAAGAAAAATAAGTTTCCCAGCAAACTTTTTGTTCTGAAAGAGTTTTTATGTGATTTTGTGAAAAACTGGTTGAGCACTGGTACGGTGACTAATAATAGTGTCATAAATGTATGACTTTCCTATAGGCTGGTTTTGAGTACAATAGTAATTTTAGCAAAACACAGTCTTATGGAAACATATGACTATCAGAGACATCTAAATACCTGTACTGGCATGCAAGTAGTTTCCATACAAAAGCAGTACTGTAGTACTGGTCAGGAACTAGTTTCCGGACAAGACCAGTTTCAGGACAAGTATTACAACAGCTTGATTTTGGCTTTATCGATGAGGATCGGTATTATATATCATGAAGATGGGTGGTTTGATTGTTTGTGAAAATAAACTTCCTTCCAAGTTAAAACATCATTAAATTTTCGTGAAGATATCTTACCTGTGTTATAAAAAAAGCTACATCCCTATGGGGTATGCAACTTGTTCTGCGCATGTGCAATATTTTGTTTATTTCAGGATATAATTTTGGGTAGCAATCATTGCACAATGCAGACAACACTATTAATTTTTCCTTTCATAAACATTTTTCAGTAAATCAGCTTAAATATAAGAAAGCCAATATTGGAAATTTGTTGTTATATTAGAATAATTATCAGTGAAAAACATATATGAATAACAGCTTAATATATGACCAGAAACTGGTTCTGCAAGAGTGAACAATTTACACTTTAATAACCTAATTTAACCTTTCAGTTTGTACAATGCTTACATGTATGTCACCAGGTCGATTAATTTCGGACGTAGTTAGAGCTCAGGTTTTTTGTATGTTAGTTTTATTTATGTAAGTCTATTTTTGAAAAAATAAACAATTAAAAACCTCGAATTCTGTTTGCAAACTGGTCCCCGACCAGTACCCATATTTTTCACGTAAACACTTTATGTTTACCTGCATTCTTTAAGAATTGATATTAAATCATGTAGATTTGTGAACAAAACCAAATCTATGTGTCAAATCGACAGGTTGTACACAATTTTTTTCATTTTAAATCACTTTCACCTGTGTGTTGTCAAAGCGTGACCTAATGTAAACATTGGGGGATTCAGTGCTTGCTTCATGCATGCTAAAAAGTCATAAAAGAGTTGGCTGCAGAGGCAGCAGAATAAATCATGCCCCTTGGGTTAAAACTGGCCCACCCTACAAGGGGTCAATTACTTTACATAGACTTACTTAGTAAAACAATTAAGTCTTCTTGCATAAAATTACATTGCTAAGAGCTTAAATATTTATCCTCAAGCATTTCCTAGCAGACATCTACAAATATTTAAAAAAAATTCAGCTTGGAAAGAAGGGAAAAAAATAAAAAACCTAATGTGACCTCATTACTGGCTTTAACTTTTTTCTAGCAATGTCTCTCAAGTGAGTGATTCAGGGCCATTATGCCCTTGTTATTTAAAAATCTTATAAAGTTTATTTAGATATTTTTAACTTAGTGTTCATGTTTCAGAAATAAAGAGGAATAGTTGTGCAATATGAAGTGCTCTAAAAGCACATGTGGTGCTGTGGGGCAGGGAAAGTTTTGTCATGAGTGTGGGTCAAAGATGATTGAAGAAGTTAAAACAGATACTGTTGTTATATGCAATGGCAGACAAGACAATGGAGACCCTTGTCAGTCAGAGCTTGTGAAGGGACTCAAATTTTGTCCTAATTGTGGAACAAAAGTTGACCAGTCATTATTTTATCTTCAAGAGGAAAGATGCAGTAAATGTAGCCATATCCTACTAACAGGGATGTCATTCTGTACTGAATGTGGTCATAGAAAAAATGTTACAAGTAAGTAAATTATAAAAATAATGTTATAATCCAAATAATGTATTTGCATCACTGCTTAACAAATTAGTAAGTGAGGTATACTGGAATCAGCTTGTGTGGCCATTAGGCCACCATCAAAGACAGCCAAACCTTGTATGATATATTATGTAAAGGTATGGCACTTGTAAATATTAAATAGTTAATAGTTATCCTAGACACCTGTGTTTCAATGTTTCACTTTGGTCAAAGCATGCTTGCAACATTATATGCCATCAAATATTGATTATAATAGAGGGTCTCTGTCCAAAGCCTATGAATTGAGCTTAGAATTTGACTGAGTTATAAGATAATGTGTACTCGGAAAATTCCTAATTGAAGTAAGTGTGCAAGATGAATCTTTATAACTACTGAAGGTATTCACTTGAAAATTCACAGATGTCTGAAGGTCACAGTCTACAATCGCACCCCTTTCTAATCTTACAAAATTTCTTATTTATTTTTGTTTGCAGTGTAAATAGAAAAATTGTTCTCTTAAGACTGCAAGTATGTCTTCATGATGATTATTGTAGGTCAATGAAGAAATGCATGCAGTTTCAATAACACAACAATATGAAAATAACTAAAGAATCGTGCAATAGCCAATAGTAATGCATAATTGTGCAATTCTATAGCTGAATATATTATACATGTAACTATGCTTCAATGTAGTATTATAATTATGATAATGGTAGTTTGAAAAAATAATGTCTAAGGATTATTGCATTGTTGTACTTATCATATCAATAAAACACAAATTTTTTCTTCAAAACAGTAGTGAAGTTGTTATTCTCACGATTGATGTAAAAAAAGAAACATATTTGTAGAAACAATTTTGTTACCATATTAACATTTATTACTGAAAGGCGTTTTTAGGATTATGTAATTTTCCATTATGAATGAAGTTGTAAATTTATATGCAACTAAAAGAAAAAAGTGCTACCTGAAGATATAATTTCTTTCCGTAATATTATTAATATATAATATACAAGACAGAGAATCAAAGGCCGGCAGTAAGCCACATTGAATTTACCAGAGCACAGTTTAACCATCGCATAGTTGCTGGGCAGGCTGTCAAACAGTTTACCAGTACTAGTAGCCTTCACTTTCGCAAGGAACTGAAACTTCTGTACAAGCCAGAGCAGAGGTACAGTGTGAGTGACCGTGATCAAATTTACCTGATTGCAGTCCTACTAGAAGTATTTAATTTCAATGGGAGATAACCCATTACTGCAATAAGGTCTGGAGAATTGTGTCTTATGCTAAGTTACTTTAAATTTTTACTTCTTACTACAATATTAAGTATAGGTTAAAGTTTATTAGTACATATTTACAAAATTAAATTGGTGACCAATTTGTTTTTGTTACTATATACTAATAAATTTTAACCTGCTGTTGCTGATTTACCAAAGTAAATGTGTTACGATTCATTTGAAATACTGCAATCCTATTGGACAAAAAATAATTTCAAACACTTATCAGTATTAATCTGTAAAGATATAATATTGCAGTGGTATTTTTAAAAAAAAACAAACAAAACAGGTTGGCCATTTTCAGAAAATATGGCAATGTGTACTGTATTACGTCATAGATAAAAATAAAAAAGTCAAAGGTTAGGTACATGTATATATGCCAGTGCATTATTTTTTTGTCCAATAGGATTGCAGTATTTCAAATGAATCGTAACACATTTACTTTGGTAAATCAGCAAACTGATAATCAGTCTAGTAAATCAACTATTTATAAAAATAATTTTAAACAGCAGGTTAAAATTTATTAGTATATATTAACAAAAACAAATTGGTCACCAATTTTATTTTGTAAATACGTACAAATAAACTTTAACCTATACTTAATCTGTAAAGATATAATAATGCAGCGGTATTTTTCAAAAAAACAAAACAGGTTGGCCATTTTCAGAAAATATCTCAATGTGTACTGTATTACATCATAGATAAAAATAAAACAGTTAAGTTATGAGCATCAAAGGTTAGGTACAGTGCATTATTATCACATTAATATTGTAAAGTCTGTCTTTAAGCATGATAAGCCACAGCAAAGTTAAAGCGTTTTAAGTCTATAAACTAATAAGATAAATTATAAAAGAGTCAATAGCTAGATCTGTAGTGGTTTATGTATAGGATAGTGTTTATTAGTCAGCATAAACCGATATTGAAACTACTTGTGTCTGACACAGATTAAATGACTTTAAACATACTTTTTTTTTTAATTTTTGCATTCTCATTTGACAAAAAAAATACATATCAAAGATCAAATGTCTTAAAATTATCTTTGACTTAATTTGTGTAAAATAACCTTTCTCACATTACATTTTTAGCAATGCAGGAAACTGCATACTTGCTTATTTTTTTTTAATTTATGATGAAGAAATGGAAACTGCCTGGATAGGCTGTTTTCCAATTTTCATTTGCCTATTTTCCAAAATTTCAATGGAAAATCCATTAAATTAATAATTAGTGACAGTTTTAAACTAAAGTTGTGTAAATATTTGTCATGATTATATTCTAGTTTCATTTTCATTTTATTTTGGGTATTTCCTTTTTCCTGAACATGTATAGATAATAGCAAAGATAATGATACTACTGCACTGCATGGGATATTTTTGAAAAAATCAAGGTTGGCCATTATCAGAAATTAATGTGATATGTAAAGGGGAGGTGTAGCAGTGATTAAAAAAAATAAATACATTTTGAGGAAAATAATAGCCTGGAAATGTAGTGATAAAATATATTCAACTGGGCTATTAAAACAATTAACTTTAAGATTTTAAATTTAATTGGAGAGGAAAAATTATGGAAGAGAAAGATGAAGGTTTGTTTCAGATTTATAGCTTTAATTACCTCTTAACTTTAAACAGTTTTCATATTTTTAATTAAGATTGTTTGTTTTTTTAATCTATGTGGTGTATTATTTTTAGTTACATACATTTGTACTTCCTCAAATAGGAAATTAATTCCTTGTTGACTGATTAAACCTAAGGATATACACACGCTTATACTTTGATCCAGTAAACATGTTGTGAAACAAAAGCTATTTCATATTCAAAATATATTGACATGCCAAAGCTTGATACTGTGTTTTTAGCTCACCTGTCACAAAGTGAAAAAGTTGTCCGTAAACTTTTACTTTAAATGACATCTCCTAATAAACCACAAGGCCAATTTCATCCAAACTTCACAGGAATGTTCCTTTGGTGGTCACCTTTAAAAATTGTTCAAAGAATTTAATTCCATGCAGAACTCTGGTTGCCATGGCAACCGAAAGAAAAAACTTTGAATATCTTCTTTTAAAAAACCCTAATAGCTAGAGTTTAGATATTAAGCATGAAACATCTTCTAGTAAGTGTCTACAAAGTTTGTTCAAATAAAAGCCCTGGGGTCAAAACTGGCCCCGCCCCAGGGGTGTCATTGTTTTTAACTATATGTGTATAGTAAAAACTTAAAAAAATCTTCTTTTAAAAAGCCCAATGAGCTAGAGCTTAGATAATTAGCATGAAACATCTTCTTATGGGTGTCTACCAAGTTTGTTCAAATAAAAGCCCTGGGGTCAAAATTGGCCCGGCCCTAGGGGGTCATTGATTTTCCCTATATGCATATAGTTAAAACTTAAAAAATCTTCTTTTAAAGAACTCAAAGAGCTAGAGCTAAGAAATTTAGCATGAAACATGTTCTAATAGGTGTCTACCAAGTTTGTTCAAATAAAAGCCCTGGGGACAAAATTGGCCCCGCCCCGGGGGTCATTGATTTTCCTTATATGTGTATAGCAAAAACTTAAAAAAATCTTCTTTGAAGAAACCCAAATAGCTAGAGTTTAGATATTAAGCTATATACAGGTGAGCGACCTCAGGGCCATCATGGGCTCATGGCCCTCTTGTTTTCGTTCTGGGGCAGAATCTCGAGATATTGCCCAGACACGAAAATAGCACAATATCTCGCGCAGTACAATTAGTTGGACTATCTATTTCATTACACTGCCATTGACTAAGCAAAGAAATACATTTGATGTAGGTTACAATAAAAATACATGTACGAGGGTTGTTCATAAAGTAATAGGACTAAGAGTCTTGCATCTTTATATTCAATTCAATTTGGAATATTTTAATATGTACAGCGATCGAAAAATGTTTTCTTCAATTTAAGTATAAAAATATTGAATTCTTGTGCTTAACGCGTGTTCCCTGTGTTATTGAATAACCATGGTAACACGCACCCGGCGCAGCACATAAAAAAATAATTGAAGCTTAGTTTAACTTCTATTTTATTCACAATTTATTTTCTTTTTTCCCCCATTTATTCCACCAACACAATTTATGATATTTAAGTGACATTATGCCCAAATTTGACGTCATTCAGACATGAAATGACTAAATCATCAAGTTTTGAACAGCAGTGGTCATAACGTTAAATGTAGAAATTTGACGTTCATTAAAAAATGAAAATGTGTGCGATCGTTAAACAAATTGGCGTTACTCCTTCAGATACATATGAAAACATAAAATTAACACAGTACAATTAATCGGCTACTCGTTCTCAGCTTGCGCAAGCAAATCAATTGCACATACGAAATCACAAACAGGAAAGGATGAGAATGATAGCGGGAAATTGACGGGACTTTAGTGACGTCAAATGGAAAAGCGCTACAAATTAAATATCAATGGTAAACAGTCCACGGACTGCCCGGCATGTTTGATTTCTGCATCGGGTCTATTGATTCAGTTCTGCCCAAATGATTTGTTGCAAACAAAACGCTATTTCATTTAACTAGATATATGTGTTGTCAATAAATTAATGTAATAATGATTAACGGTAATAATTAATATTTTCCCCGATTTTCTTTTAAAAATGATACGCTGTTCCTGGTAGGAAAATATACTTTTCAGTTGATAACTATTGTTATTTTACTTACATAATCATATTGTTTTAAGAACGTACGATGATATCGAGGGCTTAACGCAATAAGGGCGT